TTCTCTAACTAATCTGTTGGCATTCAATTGGATATTGCATTGCACTGTATTGGATCTAGTCATACTGCTACAGACTGACCCAAATTCTTAGGCTTGTAAGGGATTTTTCGAGGGGGCTGTTTTTTTGTGAGTGTAAGAAAAACTTTGCACTCTTCTTCTACATTGTAGTAAAAATCTGTAGAGCAAGTGGAAGTACCACTATAATTTTGTCAGGTTGCTGCTTGTTTTCTATTCCATTTGTTTCTTAATGCTTTCGTAATTAGGGATCCGGGTTTATCCATAACATATTGGCTTTTCAATTCTGTTATCTGAACCGATATCAACGGTGTACTTAAGATTTTCAGGAATATGCAAAACCTTCGCGTCTTTTGCTGGCCACAGAAGTGAATGTTTGCACAGATGCGCGACTGGAAAGGACCGTTACTTCGTCCAAAACTGTCAGATCAGAGTGCTTATACAGAGTCAAGCTAAAAACAAGTAATATCTATGGCTCAGATTTGAGTGACGTCAACTCTGGAGTTCTGCTCTGTTTGATTGATGAAAATGGTGACTCAATCTTACAAAGATTACCTGCTTGCTCAATGGACAATCCTACATGGTCAGTAGACAAGGTCATCTTCGATGTTTTGCATTTCCAGAGGGGTTCCGTGGATGAGTTTACATTTGAAGGACCTGATCTTGGGAAAATTGTTGCTGTTTGGATCGGCGTAGAATCAGGTTTGTTGTTAGATGGGCAAGATATGTTCTGTTTCATTCATTGACAAAGTGAACTCTGTTCCGTATGAATGCATTTAGTGCTTTTCAGTAACATAAATTTTGTTTTTGGATCACAGAAAAAAGAAGGGGACCAAAATAGCTAAGCCGTAGTGAAAGTGATTTAGCCCATTTAAGAAACTAACAGAAACTAATAATAATCTTATTCCCGGGTAAATAAGTTAATCTTATTGTAGCTTTCCTGTATCTCCAGCCATGACCAAACGAACAACTTTCAAACCCTCCTTCAATCCGAAACGAACCAGGATTAAGAGAAAATCAAGAAATTAGGAACTCAATGATAAATTTAAAAGAAAAGAAAACACAGCGCAGCTCCAAAAAATCAATTGTGTACAGGTTTACAGGATATGATTAATTGCTTCAAAATTTGTGTATAACGAGCTTGAAACCACCTATCAAGGGCATTCTTGTATGAGAAAAAGAAAACTAATCAATGTACCAAGAATTTTGTAACTAAATCATATTGTAGTCTGTGTTAAAATTTAACACTTCACACGCATTAATTGCCCTTTTGCTCTGAATGGCAGGTCAGTGGAGAATAGGGGATTTAAGTTTGACAGTTATTTGTAATCGTGAGCCCCCACCAGCAGAAAATGATCAGAAAACCAGAAAACATAATGGCTTACAATACAACTTCAGGGTTGAGGATATCTTACTTGGGGAGGGAAGTGAAATTTCCATGATGGAATTTAAACCTCACTCAGTTACTGCATTTTCTGAGGATGAATTTAACACCTTCAACGAAAAATCCTCGTATACGATCTCTAATGAAGAAAGCATGAAGGAGTATGCAGACTTGAAGTTCTCTTTGTTATTTTATGATACATTGCTTATACTTGCTGGATCCTCAATTGCTTCCCTTTTGGCCGGGGAAAATGCTTCATTTGCATTCGTAATGGGTGGAATCGGTGGGTTTTTTTATCTACTCTTTCTACAGAGGGCTGTTGATGGACTACCAATCCCGGAACTTGATTCGAGGGAAAGTACAGGAAATTTCAGTGAAGTATCTGGAAGATTTAAGGGTCCACTGTCAAGTCTGGCATTAGCATTTGCATTAGCCATTATTGCTGTCAACTATGCTTCAGGAGATAGTGCTGTGAAGTTAACACCGAAAGACCTTATATTTGGGATGATGGGATTTCTTTTGTGCAAAGTGTCTGTGGTATTAGCAGCATTTAAACCAATGGCAATTGGCTCAAGAGAGAACAAGTGAGAGGCATTTTAAATTTTCTTATACCTGTATTCGTTAGTTTATATACTAGTATAGAACGATATAGATGGCTAGTCAACTAGGTGTAGAGAGAATAAATCATACATGTGATCTTGTTTATCTTTAAGAAAGCGTTCATGGATACTATTGGAAAATTATTTTGTGCTTAGCAGATGATGCTTTCTGTCGTAGAGCAATATAAACAGTAATAAAAACATATTAATTTGAGTATTTTTTTTCTTTTCAATTATTTTATCTTATGAATGAACTAAATATCTGTCATGTGAAGTATAGATTCAAAATAGAAAAAGAATATGCAGCTCAAAAATATTATGCAGGAAATACCACTGTATGAATATATAAATCAAGAATACAATGGCTGTCATGCAAATTCCTGTTGAACTGTAGATTTATGTAATGCAACTATGCAAGTTTAACCTAGAAAACGTTTGCAAGTCAAACTCTTTAATGAAAATTAAANATGTATCAAAATAATCTAGATCTTTTTTTTACTTGTAGCCTTTAGCGACAAGTCTAACCTTATATTTGTCAATTGATCTATCTGCTTTCATTTTTCTTTTGAAAATTCATTTACATTCCAATGGCTTATTATAGGGAAGAAGGTCTACTAATTCCCATATATGATTTTGTAGTATGAATTCAATTTCACTATGAATGGCTTCTTTCCAATATAAAGCTTCGGTCAATGACATAGCCTCTTTAAAATTTTGAGGTTCATTTTCTAACAAATATGTTAGAAAGTCAGACCCAAAGGAGGTTGACGTCCTAACCTTCTTACTGCGTCTAGATTGTTCATTTATAGATTCTTGATCTATAGTTCTTCATTTTCACGAGATCTCTTCTGTGAATTTGATTCACTATGCATGTTATAAGGAAAAACATTTTTGAAAAATGTAGCATCTCTTGATTCAACAATCGTATTAACATAAATATCGGGTATTTCAGACTTATGTACAATAAATCTGTACGCATTACTATGGTAGGCATAATCAATGAAAACACAATCAATGGTTTTATTTCCTATCTTAACCTTTTTAAGTTTAGGAAGTGCTACCTTAGCCAAACATCTCATACCTTCAAGCATTTATAATTAGGTTTGTGACCATTCATATTTCATAAGGTATCTTATACGTTTTTCGATATGATAATTTTTTAAGAATATAATTGACAGAAAGCAAAGCTTCCCCCAAAAAGTTCTGTGGTAATCCAAAATTTATTAACATAGCATTTATCATCTCCTTCAATGTTCGATTCTTGTGTTCGGCAATACCATTGCATTGAGGAGAATAAGATGCTGTAATTTGATGAATAATTTCATGCTCCGAATAGAATTGTTCAAATGGAGAATCATATTTACCACCTCTATCATTTCTTATAACCTTAATCTTTTTACTAAGTTGATTTTCAACTTCTAACTTATAATGTTTAAACACTTTAATTTGCTTCGTCTTTACTTTTGAGTAAATACACCTAGCAATATCGAGTACAATCATCGATAAAAGTGTTAAAGTACTTATTACCTCCTCTAATTTGAATAAACTTTAAATCACATATGTCGGTGTGAATTAAATCTAGGGGTTTATAATTCTTTCAACAGAACGAAAAAGTAAACGTGCAATTTTGACTTCTATACATATTTCGTATTTGTGATTAGGGTCTAAATTGCACCTTGATAATAAATTCAATTTGATTAGTCTATGCAAAGTATTATAGTTTGTATATTCTAATTATTCATGCCAAATATTAAATGACTTAAACCAGTAAAAAGAAGATGTAAGTTTATTCATAATCGGAGGTACAACAGTCATTACATTCAACTTAAAGAGCCCCTTATTCAGGTAACCATTTCCTATAAACATTTCGTTCTTGATAAGTACAAATTCGTCTGAACCAAGTACTAGCTTAAACCTGTTCTTGCTTAATGGGGAACCAGATACTAAATTCTTTCTAATATCCGGCACATGAAGAACGTCATTCAAAGTGAGTTCCTTTCTACTTGTCAGTTTCATCACTATCTTTCCATGTCCTTCAACCTTGAAAGATAAAGAGTTTCCCATATAGAGGTATTTATCATGATCCATCATTTTGTAGGTAGAGAACATCCCTCAATTTGAACATATGTGATGAGTAGCTCCAGTGTCCACCCACCATTCCTTAGTGTTTCCAACTAAGTTGTATTCAGAGATGACCGCAGAAATATTTATGTCTTGTAACTTATCAGAAAGGTTGTCATGTTCTATTACATTTGCTTAATGAGGTTTTCCCTTGACATTTTTTGGCTTTTGACAGTTCTTGGATCGATGTCCTGCTTTGCCACAATTGTAACAGTTTCCTTGAACTTTTTAGCAGATTTTGAAGAACTAGTTTGCCCTTCACCATTGTACTTCATCTTTTTGCTAGTATTTAAATCTCATTCCACAATGTTGGCTTTTGATTCCATAGAATGAGATGCACCACTTGTCTTTTCAGTTTTGTGATTGTCTTCCTCTAAACTGGACAATGATATCTTCAAGTTTCATTTTCTTCCGTTTAAGTTTTAAATAATTCTTGAAGTCCTTCTAGGAAAGCGGTAATTTCTCAATCAATGTAGCAACTTGGAATGATTCGCTTAATTCCATTCCTTCGGCATGGATGTCACTGAGTATGATTTGAAGTTCTTGAACTTGAGATATGACAGTCTTGTTGTCAACCATTTTATAATCTAAAAATCGTCCGACAATGAATTTCTTTGTGCCAGGGTTTTCGATTTTGTACTTGGTGTCCAAAGATTCTCATAGTTCCTTTGCAGACTTCGCATTGCAGTTAAGGCTGTCAATGGATTGAATTTTGATCCGAATTCGATCCGAATCCAATGAAATTAATGGGAGATGAATTTAAGATTTCAATCCGATAATCCGATTAAGATCCGAATTCGATAATCCGTTAACTAAATAGAGCAAATATGGATATATGTCAATCGATCCGATTTATTATAATAATATTATATATTTTATATATTATATCATAATTTATTAAACATGATTTTTTCCATTTTGAAACTTATATTATGCTTTACTCATAATTTTCAAATGATAAATAATATTAGATAATAGTATAATATTTTTACTTGAAATATTCAAAGATGTTTAATTTTTTATTAATTAAAATAAGATAAAAATAACTATAGTAATTTGTTTTATAACATCAAAAACTAATAATTAATATGTCCAAAAATAATTTACTTTGTTAAAATTGATATTGTTTTTTATTTTAATTTTGTTATGGCTATGATTTTTAGTAAAAATAATAAAATAAACTAGTAAACACTTAGAATTGACAATTGAGTAGTATCTCACATTGAAAGACCACTAAAACATTAGAAGAGAAGTACCCTTTAAAAATGTAGTATCTCACATAGGAAGATTATTAAAACATTCCAAGAGAAATTTTCTTTAAAAAGAACTAAAGGAGCATCACTTGGATAAAAAATTGATTTGGACCTTCTAGTATATTAGGTAAGCCCATCAAGATAGTTAAAATATTTTTTTTTTGGTAAAAAATTGGTGGAAAAAATTCGGATCGGATTATCGGATCGAATATCCGATAACATAGCAAATTGGATATGGATTTAACAATCAAATATTCGTTGGATTATCGGATTGGATCGGATCGAATTGGATCAGATTTGGACAGATCCGCCCCATATCTGTCCATTGACAGCCCTAATTGCAGTACACATTATATAAGTGTTGTCCAGTCTATTGAGTACATAATATTTGCATAAGAAATCAGAATACTTCCATGCATTAACCGCAGCCAATTTCTCAACACCACTTTCTTTCTCGGTGTATGAAGACGCATCTTCTCTGACAAATTTTGCCAAACTTAATGCCGTTGGATAAAAAAGCATTTTCTACTGCCAACATTTGAAAGCTGACCCATTAAATTTCTCTGGTTTTCCCAGATCGCCTTGAGGTGTATAGTACCGAAAGTTACCATTTCTGAAATACAATCAAACGATAAACAATAAGAAGTAGAAATAGAATAAACCAGAATAAAAAATTCTGTTTTAAGATTGCTCTTTCTGAAGTATAAGTTTTTCCTTCCAAACAATTTGGCAGAATTACCTTAATGTAATTTTGTACAGCGTAACAATACGATCAACATGATCAAAAAATTAAATTCGAGCCCATAGACTTCACAATGTTTCATTAAAACGAATTTGCTGACTTCGACGGTGCTAAAAGCATGTAGCAATCGTTTCCTAAAATAGTACGAATTATGTCTCCTACGAACAGCAATCTAGAGGGGTTCCAACGAACGCAACGAAGTGTTTTCATTTCGAAAATAATATCAGAACGAGAGAGAGGGGAGAATGAGATTCAATGCAGAGAATGTCTACAATGAAAATGGTGTTATTTTTTCTGGCAGCGGAGCAGACTATTTATAGATTTGTTCGTGGTCATTCGAACATCCCTCCAGAACAGTCATCATTGTTCAAACAGCTTTCAAAAATCGAACAAACATGTTAGTTTAATACCGCATCTGTTAAGTCGGTTAACGGTCGACTGTTTAGTCAGTTAACAGATGACTATTTAACATACCATCCAGACAAAAAATTACCCGAAAATAAGCCAAAAAAATAATTTTCATTAAGTACCCAAGAATTTAATTATTTACAATTTAGCCCAAAAATTCAAATAATTTTTTTTAAAAAAAGTTAATAGCACAAGGGCCCACCCGCACCCAAACCGGATCAGAGTTGGACACATGCTCGTGTTGTACTATGCCGAGTCGAGCTTGGCAGCCGGACGGACGGCAACGATGACGACGACACCCGTATGTAGGTTTATGACCGAACTCAATAGAATATAGATTTCTCCCCTTCCAAAGATTATTGGTACCCTTTGGGGTCCAAACTCAA